TCTCCTTGTTTGACATGTGAGGAGACGTCGTTCTGGTAGAGAATCACTGGAAGCCGCTCAGCAGAGCTGGGAGAAGGCAGACAGCACATCGGGTGAGCGCCGGTTACAGTTTCCAGCTGCAATGTGTTTAAATCAGTTAGAAAGAGCGAGAGTGACATCACTATGCAGGGCTTATCAGTTCATAGGTGGGCGTGTTGGCCAGAGTGGAACCAAGGTTTCCTCGGTCCGAAAATGGTGTCCGTTCCGCGCAGCTCTACTCGAGAAAAAGAGTGTGAACGCTCTGAGCGGGGCCGTATCATGCGGAGCCGACGCCAGTGTAAAAGCGCTATAAGATTAAGGCAAGTTGGCTTTACCAGGCAAAACAATCTGGCATTTTTGTGGCGCTTGAGGTGTTGACTTATTCTGGGTGTCGCAGCGTGACCTCTTTCGCACATTGCGGAGACGTTCCTCTAGGAATCCTGTTGCAGGTCTATGTTTCCTTCCTGGGGTGAACCACGCATCCTAAAGTAAAAACAAAAACACATACACAACAGGAAAGAATACAAAAATAGCAAATTAGAAAATAAGAAAACCAGCACAAGCCTTTGAATGAGGTAGTGGATTCACTTGAAATTTACAATTTATTTATTGGGAGTATCCACTCTGAGGTTTGTGTTTTAATTATATGTTGGTCACACAGTGATAGGCAAGTCAAATTCGTCTGTAAAGCACACTTTCAGTGATAAGGCAATTCAAGCTGCTTTTGAAGACCTGCGATATTCTATAACAGTGCTTAATATTGCGATATTGATATTACTCACGATAAATGAACAAATACTAAAATATGCAGTGTTGATGTCGTCTGGCGTGTGACGTCTTCTCTGGGTTCAAAGCAAACAAAAACTAATGCATGAATTCCATAACAACATAACATTTTTATAGCAAAAACATGCAGCTGCACCTGCTACTGTATTAGTAGCAAAACAACAAACTGCATGCATGCAGTTTCTCAGTGACTTTAAAACATCACCTCCACCATAAAACTTTTTCTGATTCTCCAAATACAGAAAAACATCCCTTACCAGGGTTTTTAGAATAAATACTTTAAATGTTAAATAATAGTTAACATCACTTAAATGCAACAGCAAATTCTCTCATTGCTACTGAACATTTTCTCCACTTATGTGGTTAAGATATAAGGATGTTGCTGTAATTGGAGAGTGAACTGTGCTGGGCCAAACTAGGAGAATATTAAGATTTTCTGAGGGAAAGAGAAAAACAATCGTCTACCTTTCAGAAGAGGAACTGGCAAAAAAACTACATGGAAAATATGTGAAAACGTTTGTTTTTAACCCCAAATTGAACAAGTTTACCTAGATCTTAAAAAGCAGCTCAGATGATGAAACTGCAACTATGATTCTGATAACAAGCTAACTAATTGAACTAGCTCCTCTAAGATAACCGGCTAGCAGAGCTTCTGACTGACAGTTTATGTGCAGCAGCAAATCAACTATCCTGATTAACAAGGTTATAAAAGCTCATAAATGAAAAATCACTTTGATGTGTGGGGGAACATTTCCAGGCCCTCTTTAGCAGGGTGGGACTGGGAGGAGAGTGCTGTAGCCTTTTAGCTGGAAGCTAACCGGAGCCACCACCCGGTGGAACACTAGCGACATGAAGGTGGGTTGGTTCACCGGCACGTGTCGGAGTCAGCCCGGTAAAAATGATTACGACACCGAGCGGACTCACGTTCACGTTTGAAAGCAGCGCTGATTCCAGAAACCTCAGCACAAAGTGTGTTCGGTGCTCTGAGCCAGAATGACGAACAAGGCAACGGCGCTGCAAACTATGTTCAGCTGTTGCTTTCCAAAAGAGTCTATGTAGGGGGCGGGCGTATTACGTGAACGGACCCATCTGATTGGTCGCATATCAGAAGGGCTACATTTGATTGGTCAAATAATACTTCTGCGTAAAAAACAGAGCTGGTTTACAAAAAGCTGATGTATGACACGGATGGAAATGTTTGAACCAAACATTTATCGCTGTTTTTGCCGTGTTTTGCGATGGGCCTATCACACGTCCTGTTATCGCGATGACGATAATTTTTCGATATATTGTGCAGCCCTAATAGATATTAATATAGATGATGGTAGGACAGTTTGCTGACTTTTATGAGAGTTTTAAATGTCCTTTATTTTTGATAACATAATAATGTCATATGAAACGTTACTTACATAGCCTGTGCCAAGACTGTCCTTTAGACATGGAAACTGCTCCACTACTGATGATGCCAGCAATGCCTTTGATTCCGAGGGTGGACTTCAAAAGAAAATTGACATGTTACTTTATTATACACCCAAAACAAAAGATACTTTTGTACACTTATTATGAAACAGCTTTTTTATTGTTTTCAATCATATTTTGAAAACCATAATTTGTGATTCAACACTCCAAATCCTTTGGAAGAGATGGCCATGGTTTAAAAATCTACATTTGTTCACCAACTTTAAATAACATAAAAAAGAGAAGTCTATTATAAGTTTGAAAAGATGCTCACTTCTCTCCAAAGCACTCAATCAGGTGGGACACAAGTATCCTGACCATGGATCTTCTCTCACTTATAGAAATGTGATGGCTTTCTTCAAGGCTGTGAACTATTGCTCTTCCATCAGGTGTTTTGTTGAGTATCTCACGGACTTTCTAATAATATGTGAACAGAGAAAAAGGGTCTAATTAAATCTGCAAAGAAACCTAAACCTTCAATACATCACTGGGAAAGGTTAGAGGGATTTTCTGGAGGGAATGATAAGAATCCATTATTACTTCTGCATGGATAGTAAGACTTACAAATGATGTTCCACCCTGGACAGGAGCCACGTGCTGCAATTTGTCAGCTGGTGCACAAACAGACTCCGTTTGTTTAGGGCTTGAATCCTGGTTAAAAAAAAGCAGGGGAAGACCCTACATAACTACAAAAAAATTGATAAAGCATCTATAATTCTGATTGTAGTTTTAGTTACATGGTTCAAATCATAAAAACAATTATGGTATATTTGTCAAAAACACTCAGGTATATACTTACAAAAGTGATGATGATAAAGCTGATATGCAGCTCCACAGTTATATTGATTTTAATCAAATATTTTAATGATTTGAATGTATTTACATTTATTTGTCACAAAAATGAGGTAGTACCAGGTCAAAGCTCAAGACAGTACTTAAAACCCTTTGGGTTTAAAATAGCCTGTACCTCAGTGAAATGTAGAAGTCACTGCAATTCTCCTTGTAGGATTTCACAGCATGGAGAGGGTGATAGTCAGCAATGGAATCAATGTCCACTGCTTCAATCGCTGAGGTAGGGGAAACATTGAAGGCAAAAAAATGCCTTTCAAAGCCGATTGTTTCCCACTTTTTTAAAATGAGCTTAGTATTCGAACGAAGTACCACAATGCTCTGAATAGTTCCAAACTGAGGCTCGCAGTCATCTGTATGAGACATAAATAATGTCATTCCTGTCCTGTAGCTAGTGCCCTTGTACTTAATCCAAGAAGGCAGATAAACGTCTGTAATAACAGCAACTCCTTCAAACCCAGATTTGACCTTCTCAAAATCCTCTATTGTACCAAGGAGTTTGGTATATCCTGGCCCAACTTCAAACTCATGGCAAAACATCTGGCCTGACAGGAGAGTGTAACACATCATTATTTGATGTCTGTAGGCTTGGGTTTTACAGATATTTCGAACGTTGCAGGTAACATGACTCACTCTTTTGAAAAACCCATGTTTTGCCTCAAAGCGCATTGACCAGAAGTGAACAACAGGCCCAAGTTTCCGTATGGCTCTGGGATAGTGAAGCATGAAGTGGTGTTTGGGTTTTAGATGTCTGTCTGGGAAGAGCTCTAAATAAAGACAATGGTGCTCCTCAATGATGTGCCCCAAAAAGACTACTGCTCCTTCTGTTAATGAAGGAGAAAAAATAAACTCCATGCAGCTCAACAATAAAAGAAGCAACTCCCAATATTTGTTGTCCTCTGGAATCAAATCCCCTATCATGAGGGGAAGCAGTCTTAGCAGACACCATGTTTGTGAAGCAGATTGCCTAAGTCCAGTATCAGGATTTTTCAAGTCCTGAGGTTTGATGGTTGATGGCTTGTTGTGGACATCACAAAATCCATAGTCAAAGCTTGTCAACCTGTAGTTCAGCTGATCAAGAGTGACAATTTTTTGTTCAATCAATGCATTGAGCACAAGCTTAATTTCATAACCACCAATCCCTTCGAGGATATCATGCATGACATCAGGAGCAACATTGTCAGTCACATGGTAGAACTGCAACTTGTTAAGAGAGCACTCTCTCTTGATGCCAGTTTCAGCTGGTTTGTGTAGAAGCAAGTCTGAGTGGTAGTTAACCTTGTCACGTATTGATGAAGGAGCTTCAACTGTCTGTACCCTCAACACTTCCTTGTGAACTCGACACCACCGACACACGCTATTGCCTGCAAAGCTTTCTGTGTAACCAAGTATTCCATTAAGTCCAAGGTTATCATCACAGACCTGTGCCACTCCAGCCTTAACAATGCCTGAAAAACGTGTGGTTTCAACATGAAAGCCATTCAGTTCCATGTCTTTAATGTCATTCACAATTGGCTCTAAAATTGTGTTCATTCCATATGTTTTTACATCATCAGCTTTGTACACTGCCAACAAGAAGTGAGACTTTAAACTAGACATGTATTCCTGTGGCAAGCATTTCATTGTGAAATAGATAAAACCAAGTTTGTGGACTGATGTTTTTGCGCCAAGTGGATTCACCATCTCACACTCATCACTGTAAAGAACCAATGGAATAGAGAAATCTTTAGAGAAAAGTGGATTAGTTTCAAATATTGTGCCATCTCTGAAATCCTCTAAGGCAGCATTTTCAAGATTTCGCCATTCAAAGATCTTATCTATTGTTCCTGGACTTTCCAGAACAAGCTTCAACATGGGTTTCAAGGGAACATACTGGAAAGTGCCCCGAACTGCAACTTGTTTCACATTTCCTGACTCTCGATCAATTTCTTGTGTAAAGGAAAAGCCAGGGAGTGGTACTGCCTCTGGCTGTATGAAGAACCCAGACTGAGTAAAATATTTCATTTGCTTGTACTCTGATTCAAATCCTTGAAATGGTTCAGCTGCTTTGGTGAACTGCTCCATGAGGTCCTCTGCTTGTGGAGTCTCAGAGTGACCGATCTCTCTTAAAAAAGAGAGTGTTTTTCTCTTTAAGCAACCAACTACATCTCTGATAAGACCTGATGTGTTTTCAACTACATCTCTAATCCCACTGAATGTCTGAGAGGATGTTGCCTTTAACCTAGCTAAGAAGAGTGCAACTCTGTCCTTTATGTTGTCTTCCTCTAGCTCATCCCAATGTTCTGCTGTAGTCTCACAGCATTCCACCTCATTTAGCACACTTAAATGAGGATCTACTGAACTGTCAGGAAGTTCACCTGTGCTACTTTCTTCTGTTTCAATGTCAAACTCAATAGCATGCCCAATTATGTGTCGTCTGAATGATCTTATTTGATCAAAAGTGCGATGGCACCCAACTTGAGCACACTGGAAATAAGTTGAAGTAGAAAGTATATGATGCACCACTCTGAGATGGTTAAAAAAAGCTCTTATGTTATGACCTAAAGACCTATGACATTTAAAGCACACGTACCCCATTCTGTTTTGACCTCTGACACTGGTCATACCTCAAGTAATCTTTTTAAATTATTCTGAATTTTCAGGCGTGGACCCAGGAGAGGTATCAAAGTCGTCAAGCTGTTCGCATCCAAGAGGAAAAGGCTGTCTTTGTCAATCTTTTCAGCTGAAAAAAAGAAGGAAATTTGGATCACTGATCAATAAAACAACAAGCCACACACAGATGTAGGCCTGGGCAATAAAACAGTAACCATATGTACCGCAATGTAACTTTTCCTCAGTAGTAAAATGAGACTCGCAATATAGTTTGTCGATCTTTTTTTTCATAGCCAACTGAATTACACTATTAAAATAAACTATACCAGGACAGATTGGGAGAATTTGCTTTTAGTTTTTAGCTTATTCATTTGATATTGACAAAACGTTCGACAATTTATTCTCCTGTAAAACTTATTGTATCCTGAGATTTATTTTTAGTCAATATTTTGTTTCTAAGTGGAATTGACCAAGCAGTTAGGTCATTTTTTTGTTCTCTTTTGAAACTTGAAAGCTTTAGTCCTGACTTTAGTTTATAATATTATGAACCTTTATTATTTTAGTCACCTGAAACAGATGTTATGTTCTCTCAGTACGACTGTCATGTTGAACCTTTGACAGGAAACTAATATTTAAATAAAAAAGCAGCTTCTGATGATTTCACATTTAACTTTTAAGTAACAGCCCATTTAAATTTTACACAGAGTTTTTTGACTTATATTCCAATCTAATCCAATCTTATTTATAAAGCGCATTCAACATGGCATTACAACCAAATAAGGCGCTGTACACCAAAAATATATATTGTAATATATATATATATATACATATATATATATACATATATATACATATATATATATATATATATATATATATATATATATATATATATATATATATATCGACATTGACAGAAAGGAAAAAGATGTATCGTGATATGAAAAATCTTATATCGCCCAGCTTTACACAGATGTAAATATGAGTACTGGTAGTTACAGTTTTTTACTTTAATTACAGAAATACATTTACTTTATCATACCTTCAAAAGCAGGGATGTATTCAGAGAGGTTCCATTCCAGAAGTTTGTCCTTCACAAATTCATCCATCTTTTAGAAAACACAGAAATCACATTTGGTTGCTGTATTTTTTTAACAGTTAATCACCAATATTACTTGCAGTTAATTAACAATTGAAGTTTACAAAGGATTATACAACAAAGCAGAAGCAGTATTTATCAACAATTAACACTTGAACTGTGCATTTAACGTCATCTGTTTGGTAAGATGCTGCTAAATCAGTAGCCAGTGAGCTCACCTGTCCGTTCCCTGTTTCAATCTGTTGTGTCCTACAAGCTTATTATTTTATAATGTCCCAAACACTTGCTGAAAGTAATTGTTTTCATCTGGTAATATTGCCCACAACACTGGAGAGGAAATCTTCCGCGCTGTTCACAGCCATGCTGCTACTGTTAAACGCTAACAAAATAAAACGTATGCAAGTAGGGAGTAGCATAGATCATCTTTGGGCAGATTATCAAAAATAGAGCGCGTCCAGATCGTTTCAAAAGCTAACACATTATCTCAAGCATTCTGAGGATTGGATGACAATCCTCAGAACTTCCTGACAGTTTTGTGGGAATATCTACAGTTATAAATTAACATCCAACTTTGTTTTGGTACACATCTACATATATTCAAGCTTTAACATACCTTGAGTGAAATAAACCGGGCATTATCATGAAACTCTGGCTCCCATGATTCGGATGGATTATCAAGCAGTTTACCTTTGGCGTACTTCATCAGCTGGAACCTATTAACTTTCACGTTAATGTCCGCCCGTTTATTTGTGCGCTGCTGCACACGACTCTGACTGACACTGATTATATTTTATTTCACCGCTATGTAGCGCGAGCTGTTGTCAACTGAAAGCAGTAGCAGTTTGCGCGTTGCGCCGCCATTTGTTTGCTCCCCACCCCAGGGACAGGGGTTGTGGAGTTGGCGCGCGTGCCGTTATGTAACATGCATATGAACCTGTGAACGTAATCTGCCCGGCAACAGTTACAGTAGCGGGAAAGCTGCGCGCAACCACTTAGATAAGCTATTATTCTCCTGTAGCACTATGCCTATTGGTCTCCTGTCTCATTTCCCCACAGAAATGTATAGTAGAATTGGTACTACCAAAGAAGTAGTGCTGAGCTACACAAGTAGCGGGAGGTATTGCACAGACCGCAGCATAAAGAGCCCCTGCTGCTAGTGGGGATGCTATGCATAGTAAGCCTAACTTCCTGAGCCTCATCATGTCTAACAAACAAAGGGAGGGTGGACAAATAGTAAAACACTGTCTGGAGCAGATAGTTGTGTCACAGATTTTCTGTTCCATTATATCTAATGAAGTAGATTGATGCTAGGAAGCTATAGCTAGCTAGCTACTCGAAGCTATATTCGGTTGAAAATCTCTTGTAGGCTTAAAATCTCTTTGTTTACTGCATTACCTGCCTTCAACTGCTTTACCAGAACACATTTTCAAACTCCATCATCAACATCTTACCTTATTTTTAAACATTGCTGGTGTGAAGGTCCATGGAAATGAGGCAAGTCCTTGTCATCCTCCACTTTAAAATGGTGAAGCTGGCACAGACGAGGGGGAGGATCTTTCTTTTTACCGCCCCTTTTAACCCAACATGCTGGGTCAAAATGTTTGACCCAATGTTGTATTAAATTGACCCAACTGCTTAAAAATCAGCCTTAACCCAGCAGTTGGGTTAGCAAAATAACCCAGCATTTTTAAGAGTGCATAATCAGACAAAATACTTCCTTTATAACCACAACCATACAACTTTTTGTATTTTAAAGGATTTTCTTGTCATCACACTAACTATAAATTCTTTTTCTATTGTTTCCACAGTCTCTTGAACTAAATAACCGTCTAGCAAAAACATGGACCGCACCCTGTTTCTCAAGCAGCTGCTCCCTCTATTAAAACCTGAGTCATTCAGGAGAATATCCAGCGAAAGCAGCATTTACTTCTCATGCAAGAAGACACACATCCACTCATTCACAAGGCACAGACGACATTCTTTGTTTGTCACAGTCTTTTTTTTCAAAGTAAGTCAGTCCGTCACTTATTTACTCTCTCTCTCTCTATATATATAATATTTTAAGCACAGAATTTATTTAACACTGCACTGGTTATTTTCAGAATTTAATGCTTACTATGCTTTTAAGCAGGACTTATGTAACATTAAAGCAAATCCAATTGCAATTTTTGAGAGCGCTCTGAGAAACAGTTTATATATTTATTTTCTGCAGATCTGTTTTGATTTTACTGTTTAGCAGCTATCTGACTTTATGTATATGTATATCTATATATTTCTAAAATAAAGCTGTCATTTACAACCTTACTTGCGTTTCTTGTTGGTTTTTTCCCTTTTTTTCATCTCCAGGCCACTTAACCCCCAGATAGGGGTCACTCACATGCTGCCCCGCACACAAATGATTATCACGCTTGTACACTACATATGTATATATGTAGACACATATACATACATACACACATACATATACATATGTTACTTTAAAAACCTTTTATTTATTAACTTATGGTGTTCTGTTCAAAGACTGATCTGAACAGGGTTGCAAAATTTGAATTTTGCGTAGCTTCAAACATTAATTTTAGCACTGCAGTGTAATTTACATATACGAGTTGCAACTTTTTAAAGCTCTTATTTATCTTATTTATTTATTTTCTGATACCGCATCAGGCCTTCACACACACATCATCCAGAGCTTTCCACACACACACGGAGCTCCCAAAACTCGGCTCTGCATTCTGCACTCTCCTAGTGCTGCACTTTCAATCCAGAGCCGTAAGCAGCCTCTTGCTGCGCCTCACACAAGCACAGGCTGAACTCAGCTTACACACACAGTGAAGCTTCTCTACAGCTGTGCTTTTTTTTTACTTTTATCAGTTACTTGGTACCTTTAAAGGTCCAAAAATTTTGTTAGAATTTTAGGAGTTCTCTTTTTACCTCCTAGGGCCTCAAACCCAACTTTTCTTGTCTCATAAAAGGTCCCAGACCTTGTAGTAGAATTTTAGGAGTTTTCTTTTACCTCCTATGGCCTCTAACCTTTATTATAACCTTGAACAGGTCCCTGACCTGTGGAATTTTAGGGTTCCCACCCCCTGAAGGACTCCAACCTGGCGTGATATTACCTCGTTATATTTCTATTCACTCGTCAGTAAATATTTTGGTCCACCACGACCTGGAAAATGGAATTTAGGGCTTTTCTAATAACCCTGGGCCTCCAACCCCTATGGAATTTAGGGCTTTTTAAATAACCCTGGGCCTCCAACCCCTTTTTCTGTACTATATCCTTATCTCATTTATCATTAAACCATTTGCAAAAAGTCTCTTATTATTTCTGCACTTTGCCTCCACGTTCTTCTCCAACGATGGTTTTAGGACCACAGCTACTAAGATTCTGGACACAAAGGCTTTGGATAAATCCAATGAGCAGTTTTTAGAAAGAAGGTTCTGCTCACCTTGTTTTCCACCGCGGTGTTTTGTGCCAAGATCGTTCACTGGGTCGGTTGGTCAAATTGTCCTCCAAAAACTCCTTTTTCTTCAAAAAGAAAAAATCCTGTTCGTGACGCCAAATTTGTTGGTCTTTATTTTCTAGACCATACAGGTTCGGAGCAGATGGAGAGAGAAACACCTTTCGTTGGTAGAATGTGGAGTCAAAATGATCAGAAGACCAGTCTCTTCTTCACCGCTGCAGAGGGAGAACACTGCAGCTCCAGCTAAACCCCGCGGTTAGCCCATGTCTGCTGCACCCAAGTGTTCTGAGCTCTCTCTGCTCAGCAGCTATTTTTATTGACCAATTATGGAATGCACACACACGTAATTCTGCCATCTGCACATGCAGACGCACGTCAGCTAGTAGCCTTGTTAATGAAAGACCAATTCATCCCAAGAACATGCAACCTTGAGATGACCAGGACACATCCTGCAACATCCTTTGCTAACCAAGACAGTTGTTCTTGTATTGAGGAACTGAAGGAAGGAGCACTTTCACTCCCTTTTCTGTGCAGGGGAAAACATGCAGCTGTTCAGCTTGAGCAGAAAAGGCACAGAGAGGTTTTCGATATTATAACAAGATTCCATGAAAAGGCATATAATAATGTATTTATGATAATATATAAGGAGCATAAGTGAGATATACATATTTGTTCATATAAAAGAGCTTATAATAATATATGAAAGAGCTTATATGAGAGATATATATTTTCAGACGCTACGTTGGAACCATACGGATATTTAATAGTGGATTTAAAAGCGGAAACGCCAGAATCTTTTCGTCTTCGTACGGGTTTACTTCCGGATCAGCTCACTGCGGTGTATTTACCTAAAACAGATCCATGTCAGCCAGGGTAAAACGCAACGCCAAGATTCTACGTGCTTTGTCACGTATGAAGCCTCGCCAACGTCAGGAGTTTTTAAAAGGGTGCTCCGAGGACGTTCTCAAGGCTTTGTGCGAGATAGCTTTAAACGTGATCAAAGGAAATATTCGTCTGTCACCGCGTCAATTTCAAAAGTTGTCTAAAAGCAAAATGGTGCTCAGGCAGTTGACTCATGACAAAACTAGCCTTTTTTTAAAAAAAAGAAGCTTTTAGTTGGCCAGAAAGGCGGATTTCTACCCATACTCTTAGCTGCTGCTGCGCCTTTGATCGGGGAACTGATAGGTGGTTTAATAAGGAAATAAACGATGGCTTCTCAAAAAATGTTTATGGTGACCCCCCAACAATTACGTCAGCTTGTTAAACCTAAGATACGGGACGTGGCTGAAGAGAATCTTGACTCTGAAATGAAATTAATTATGCAGGAGACGGGATTAACGCTGTATGAGAAAATTAAAAAATACAATGCGCTGCTACAGCATTATTTAAAGCTGTTGAGAAGCGGATTACACGAAAGTGCACCTCCCACTGAACCACCCGCTGTGACGGCTGAACCTACGTCAGCTTTAGAAACAGCCGCTGACACACTCATTAATGAAATGCTACAGAATCTTCCTGTACGCGGAAGAAAAAACGCCGAGTACTTGCTGAAGATGACACGATTAAACTGGACTCCGACGGGGGAATTTAAATATAAAGGCGATGTGCAGAAAGGATCACACATCCTTGACTTGATTAAAAGCATCAGCAACCAACCCGTTAAAAAAATATCCACAATCAGAACCGACGGGTTGGACTCATTTCCTAAAAACTCTGGTAGAAAAAAATGTACCCTTATCTATCGTGTCCAATCCACTAGCGAAACGTCAGATTACGCAACTCAGGAACGAAGGGGGTGTGCTTCCGGATTCTGAAGACGGTGTTTTGAAGAAGAAGAAAAAACCGAGGAGAGATATCATTTTATCACCAAGCTGGACCGATATCCCCACTTTGAAGAAAAAACCAAAGAGGGATATCATTTTATCACCAAGTTGGACCGACCCCCCCACTTTGAAGAAGAAATGGATCAGCTTTTCACCTTAACTCTCTTGTTTGTTCAATAAAACTTTATTCAAAACAAATTTCACAGTCCGTGACATTCTTTAAACATTTCAAGAGTACAATTCACCTGTTTAAAGTATATATCATGACGTTTGATACAATTTGAAAATTTTTTAACAAAATGATAAACCATAGCATCATTCTTATCTACATTTTTATGATATTTAGACAGAATTTGTTTCAGAGAAAGTCCACAAGCCTTATGACACAGGAAAAAAACACAATGCTGGCCACAACGGTCGGATGCAAAACTCTGTAGCTGATGATCTTGATATTGTATTCGTGAACAACGTTCTGTTAGAAAATTCAGGATGTTTTCAGGGTAATATTTAAATTCAGGCGATAGACCGTAAGAGTCAAAAAATGTCCCGAGGCCATTTTGTTCCACAGCTCGCGCCAACCAGTGTTCACCGGGTAAATGGACAGGATGAGTGTTTACCACAAAGTAGGCCGGTAGTTGAATGTTTTTTGGGATGGTAGACAGCTGATCAGATGCGTACACGCCACCAAAATAATCTCCCAGCAGGTTCGATAATATGCCGTCCAATTCGTGATTATCCATTAATAATAATCCACCAATACCTCTCTCTTTGAGTTTATCTCCAGAATGGAGTCGTAACACGCATACACAATGAGTGTAGCCGTGGCTCTCAGAGGTTCTCCAAAGCGCATCTCCATCCTCAGGTTGCAGGTGGAAACGGTTGAAAGCGCTTCCGAGTCATCCGCTGTGTTCAGATTAAAGGCAAAGAGTGTATACCCCTGTTGATATTCCAACCTATTAATCGATAGAGGCAAATCTTTCAATTGTCTTGAAGTGGCTGTAAACAGATTATAAAATTCTCTGACCGATGTTCCCTGGTAAAAAGTAGGTTGAAAGGCTTTCGAAGGAATCTGTTTTCCGTCTCTGGACAACGCCAGATATTCCACATTCATGTGGCGAAAATTAAATGGAGAAAGGTCCCTGCGTCCTGTGTAAGCCTCGTGGTCCACCAATCCTAAGACGATATATTTAGGAATGGCACCGAGAAAGAGGTTCTCCAGATTACATATCCTCGAATTTTGTGGAATGGAATAAGTTTTGACGGTCACGCGTGAGAGCGGATACATGGCGTTTGCTTTTAGTAAAGCAGACTCGTGACCCAAACGTACGGCGGGTGAAATATTAACTTTCTTCACAAAAAGCGATGCACCCAGCAGTTTCAGCTTGTAGGTGGAATCACGCGCCC